CTAGATTCTTTTTAAATCTACACATATTAGTTTCCCCTCAAATCTCTCACTTTTGGAAAATAAAAGTTTTGAAATACTTATACGTATTAAAAAAAACAAAACATACATCTTTTGTTGATTTTACATACTAATTGGATATGTTCTAATCTTTACCTCATTTACACGTTGTATAAATCAATACAATAGCTCATTTCAATAAACATTAATCCCAAAAAACACAAAACTCAAAGATTCTAGATAAACATGAGTTTTTCTTACATCAAAATATAACCAACGTGCAAAAATCTCACAAAAATGTTTGCGTTTACAAGAAGATTTACATCAAACAAACAAAATTGGTCCAAATTATTTACCATTCCCAATGGTTGAGCTATATCCTCTAAGAACGCTAGAACTTCTTTGAAATTTCAATTTACACTCATTTAAGTGAAGAATTATTTTCTATCGCATTCACATTCTAACATATAGAATGAGGCTGTGAATCTCACCCAATCAAGCCCAAGTTAAAATAAGCAATCGGTTTTCACTATGTTTTATTAGAGAGAGGCCTCGTGGTAGAGAAAGAGATATATGTGTGTTCCATTTAAACCAACATCTACCTCCTCAATTTTGTCTTTTCGAAGCCAAATTTTGTTTGTGTCTCATTCTTTTACAATCTGCAATTTGTTAGAAATTTAATAGTTTTTTTTATTATCTTGAGAAAACCGCAAAAACCTTACAGTTTATATATATAAAAGAGACATAAAATCAAATGGTGCTTACAGGTGGTGCTTTAGGTATTGCTGTTAGATATTTCCGAGTCTTGTTGCTACATTTCCATCAAGGATCCAGTAAAATCAAAATAAGTAGGTAAAGAAACAAATCGGAAAGATATGACACTACCGTGTTCATTAATATGTTTATAACTAAAATAAAACAGAACCTTTTTTAGCTACTCATTTTCAAAGAATACATACTTAAATAATTTAATTCGAACATCAAATAATACTATATTTTGATTATATAGAATAACCAGTTGTATAAAAAAATATTTAATGCTACAACTTATTTGTTTATATTTTAAAAATAAACATATAAACTTATTGCATTTTATGAATATGTTAGAAATCGTTTGCTTAGAATCATATAGTATAAATTTATGGTATTTAGAAATTAAAATAATTTATAACATCCTTGCGAACATATAGATTGAAAAAATTAATAAAATATACAATTTTAGAAATGAAATTAATATCAAGAGATCAATTTGGTATTTTGATTATTATTCTCTTTAAACATAATGAACATATGTTTATAATAATTTCGTATAACTTAAAAATTATTATTTTGTATGGTTTTTCAGATATCCATGTGAGCATATGTGAGCATATAGATTAAAATAACTAATAAGATATACAATTTTAGGAATGAACTTAATATCAAGAGATCATTTTTTGGTATTCATTCCACGCATGACATTTTAATTGATTCTTAATCTCGGTAACATAAGAACATATGTTTGTAATAATTTCCTATAGCTCATGAATTGCTCTACCCTAGAATTGTTATTTTGTATAACTTTTCAAATATCCCCACCAGCATATATATTAGAGAAATAATAAGAAATACAATTTTAAGAATGAAGTAATACCAAGAGATCATTTTGGTATTCTCCCTGCACATGACATTCTAATTGATTGTTATTCTCTTAAACATAAGAACATATATTTGTAATAATTTTGTATAAATTAAGAATTTTTCTACCTAAAATTATTACTTTGTATAGAAAGTATTGGTCCGTATGTAATGTTGAAAACAAAAATGACTCAATTTTTGTTTTTAGTGAAAATTAATACAACTATCATGGTATGGTTAATACAAAAATTAAATATAATGTTATGATCGAATAGTCGTTTTATAGTAATGACTTTTTTGAAATTAAATTATAAATATATCATTTATATGTTTAGCAAATTAAAAAGTTCTAAACAATAATATGTGAAGCTAAACAATCATAAATGTTAGCAAAATATTTAAAAAATTTGTTTAGCAAATTGAAAGGAGCTAAACTCTAAGAGGAGAAATTTAATCATAGGATTTATAGACATACCATGAATATATTAAAAGGTTCTAAATATTAACATTCTAAACCTTTATAAATGTACGCAAAACATTTAAAACAATTAAATTATCTACCAAATTAATCTAAACCCTAAGAAGATAGCGTTAACCTTTGGGGAGTCCTAACACTCACGCATTGAATAAAACTACAGTTCAATTCAATTCGGCTATAGAAAATTTTAGTTTGTTTGTAACGTTGCGAAAAGAAATAAAATTTTTAAATCGATTTTTCTTTTAGTGAAAATTATTACAACCACCATGGTATGGTTACTACAACAATAAAATCAAATATTATGATTTAATACTCGTTTTATAGTAGTGATTTATTATTATCTTTTTCAACTTAAAGATATAACATTTCTAGTTTTAGTGAATCAAAATATTTAAATTTTTTTGCAATGTTAGAGGAGCTAAACCATAAAAAGGATCTTTAACCCTAGAAAAACCTTACCACTCACACACTGAATAAAACTACGATACAATTCTATAGAACAAATTTATTCATATGCAACGTCACAAAAAGACTAATGTTTTAATTTGATTTGGTTTTTAATGAAAATTACTGGTTAAATGACAACCACCATCTTTCTATCTCCATAATTTTTAGAAATATGATATTGATTAAATTCTTGAAGTTTTATAAATGTGGTATTTTTGCAGATAATATTTTAATTGATGAGATTTAAAAATATGTAGAGAAAGCTTTGATCAAATGTATGTGGAGACTTCGATGTAAAAATTTGCTATCTTCTACTAATGCTAGGACATGAGCTTATTATTCATGTCAAAATTAGGGTGCCATGTTGTATTACGCAAATTTTCATAACAAAATTATTTACACATGTGTGAGCATAAACTCTAAACCCTCACAAATGAATGCAAAATATGGAATGACATAAAATGTTGGTGGTATTGACTAAATATATTGATTTTAAGGGTTATAAACCTTTATATGAGAACCTAAACTCTGAGAAATGAACGCAAAATATGGAATGATTTAACATGTTCACATTGACTAAATATGTAAATTTTAAAGGGTTCTAAACTCTAATATGGGAGACTAAGTACCCACATTTATATATACAATATGAAACCATTTAAAACGGTTGATTTGACTAAATATATGGATTTTAAGTGATAGTAAACCTTAGTATGAGAGCCTAAACACTTACAAATGAACACAAAGTATGAAATGATTTAAACTGTTCTTAATGACTAAATATGTAGTCATATTGGAGTGCACTTGTGATTAGAGTATGCTCAGTAAAGGAGACAAATAAATTTATTACTTGTATGTATTTCTATAGATTCTAACAAATCAATTAAACCATGTAGAGAACAAATATAGTAAATCAAATTGAGAAAATCAAAATAAGGAATATGGAGAAGATAAAAGTGTTGTCGACATAATGTCTGAGTGATCTAACCACATAATACATTAGAACCAAGTATATACAAAGATAAATTCTAATAAGTAGAGAAATGAATGGATTAAAAGACAGGACTTGAAATTGATAATGGAAGTGAACGGAGAGAATACCCGTTCAAGCCATATGATCCGAGAAGCT